CTCCATCCCTTGGTGGCATCCACACGCTACCAACCAGGAGAAGCTTTAGAGAAAGCAAAACCACATTTATTGGTGAGAAGGAGGCTCTGGTCCCATCTGGCCCTGTTTCTCTGTCTCCCTGAGGACCAGGGCCCCCACCATGCTCTGCAGCTCAGCCTGGAAGGGACACCTCTGCCTTGGTGGCTGCTGTCCCCGCCAGGCTCTGCCCAGGTGCCCGGTGGTCAGGGCCAGCCCCAGCAGCCCCCCCAGCACGGTGACCACCAGCACAGCACTGCCCACCAGGGCCAGCAGGAACCTCCTCCCTGTCCGGCACAGTGCTGGGAATGGCAAAAACACACCTGGGGGTCAGAGGGGGGTTCAGCACAAGGAGTGGGGGTTTTGGGGACATGGGAGAGGGTTGGGGTGTCCCTCACCTTCATACCACGGCAGCTTCTCCTTCTGCACCAGCACTGGTCCGACTGTGTCCCGGTGGAGTGTCCCCTCTCCTGGGAATGCTGTGGGAGGAGATGTCCAGTGCAGTCCAGCCCAGGTCCAGGAGCCCTCCCAAGACCCCAAAACAACCTGGGGCCACCCTGTCCCACCCCTGGTACCTGGCCTATCTCCATGGAGGGTATCAGCAGCGGGACAACCGGTGTCACAGCAGTGGCATGGGGTACTCTGGACAGGGTCCTCTGCATTGTGCCAGCTGGGAAAGGAGAGGACAGAACTGGGGAGGGTGGCTCTAGGGGTCCCCAGACTCCACCACGAGACCCACATGGTGCCGCCCCAGAGGAGATGTCTCCAAGCACCTCCACAACACCTCTGCAGCATGGGGGAGCTGGGACCTGTGGCGATGCCACCAGCTGCCATCGAATAAGAGGCAACATCCAGACCACAGTGGGGTGACTTGGTCTTCCTAGAGGTGGGTTCTGCCCCCAGCACACCCATGAGGTGCTCATGTCCCCGAATACCCAGCATACCTGGCCGTGGTGTGGCTGTAGAAGCAGGACCTGGTGGCACGTCCTTGTCCCCATGCCATCAACAGGCAGTGCATGTAGACCTGCTGAGACACCACATCCTTCCTCAGGGACCCTGCTCTCCTTCCACACCTCGTGGAGCTGAGGCCACCCTAGCAGGAGCACTGTGTCTCAGGACAGCCAAGTTTTGGGACACCCAGGTCATCCCCTCCCTGGGACCTTCATCCCACCACCAAGGGCATCATCCCCACCTCACCTGCTCTTCCTCAGGCTCACCCTCCAGTGTGGGGGCCAGGATGGAGAGCTGGAGGACAGACTCCCCTCTCTGGTGCTGGACAGACACATTCCCCACCTTCTCCCCATGCAGGCACCTGTGGCAGGAGAGTGACACAGGACATTCCAGGGCTGTCTCCAGGCTCTGGACATCCCTCTCCATCAGGAGGTCCTGCAGGACCCGAGGGTGGCTGGAGAAGGAGCCCCTACTTCCTGCCCCACCAGCACTGACCCACGGCTGTTCACCACCATGAAGATCCTCCTGGACTGTTCTGGCTGCTCCAAGATGGTCCAGTAGCACTGATCCATGTGGATCTTCATGGAGATGCTGGGACTGAAGTGGACACTGGCTTCCAGGTGGATCATAGAGCCAGGGCTGAGCACTGGCAGCTTCTCTGGAGCAGCACTGGAGTCCTCTGAGAAGTGTGGGTTCAGTGTGACACCCCCTAACCTATCCCACCAGAGATGAAGGCACCAGACCCATCCCAGACCACCACCCCTACAGCTTCCCCCTTTCAGAGCCCACCCCCCATCCTGGCTGTCGCCCAGGCCTGCTTTCCCTGCTCTCCAGAGTTTCCTGGACCCCCCCATGGAGCTGAGAGGGACCATGTCACCCATCGGGGCAGAGCTGATCCCCAAACCCCGTTGTGGTATCAGGCACAGGACTGCGAACACCTCAAAGCCCTACACCCTCCACAAGGATGGGGGGAGTTCCTGCAGGGAAGGCCGCCTTTCCTGGTGGTCCAAGTCCTGGCACCAGCCAGGAGAAGGCACTGACTGCTCCTGGCTGAGCCCAAGGGTCTCGGCTGGACGCATCCCATGGTCTCACCCCCAGCGCTTTCCTGCGGCACCCGCAGAGCACTCACCATCCAGGAGCCTCAGGGTGAAGTTCATGATGGGCTCCTCAGAGCAGGGGTGAGCAGGAACCCTCCCTGTCCCCATGCCTGAGGACATCACTGGAGCTGTCACCGTGTGACCAGGGGGCTCTGAGGCAACTGGAGCAATGGTGGTCCCTGCAAGGGGAGGGCTGAGCCAGCAGTAGCATGTCCCGGACACAGCAGGGACATCCAGGTCTTCAGGTGTCCCCAGGACTTGTGGGGGACAGGTGGCAGTAGCACAAAGGCAGGGAGAGCACCCAGGAGCACATCAGGGCTCCTCTGTCCCCAGTCCCACCCCAGCAGGAGCTCACCTGCACTACAGGAATACACCAGGAGCATTCCCAGCACCGTCACTCTGCCCAGGCTGGGGACAGACCAGGAGCTGCTCATGGGGTGGGACACCACTGTCAGCAGCCACAGACCCCACCAGTGCCTCTGATCCCCCTCACCCCAGCCAGGACCCACCAGCCCTGCTGGGACCTCAGGGGAGCTCCAGGCAGCCCCTTACCCCAACCCCCAGAGCTTGGGATCATTTTTGCAAGGCTCCTCTACCCCAGGCCAGCCCCCAGGTGACCATCAGGAACGAGCACTGGGCACGCACCACCCACCCCCACCAGGACAACCAGTGGGAGGAATGAAGGGGGATCCCAGCCCCCCTCACCTGCCACCTCCAGCACAGCCCCACACACCAGCACCACCAAGCACAGCTCCATCCCTGGTGAGCAGCATCCCCACTGCACCAGCTGGGGGTCTTTAAGGACTTGGGGCTGGGTGCCAATGGGTCCCAGGTGGCACTGATGGGGTTGGTGTATGGGGGCTTTGCTTGGTCTCTGCAGCCATTGGCAGCCCCACACCTGGGGCTGGTCCCACCCCTCACACCTTCCCAGTCCCACCACGAGAGCCTGTGCCCATCTTCCAGTCCCCATTCCATGCCACAGCCCCAGTGCCACCACTCAGACTGGTCCTGCAGGTGGTCCTGAGCATGATCCCACACCCACCTGTTGGTCCCGGTCCCATACGCACCAACCAGTTCCCAGGTGTGATGCTGGGCCTCCCATGCCATTGTTGTGGTCCTGGTCCTCAGGAAGGTGCAGATCCCACCACAAGGTCCCATCCCCACCAGTCAGTCCTGGTCCTGTGCATGTCCTTTTACTCCTGCACCTGGTCCTGATCCAACCAGTTTGCCCTGATCCCAGTTCACCACATGGCCCAATCCCATCACTCAGCCCTGGTCCCACCTCAAGATTCTTAAGCCCACCCCAGTTTTGACCCCACCATTATCAGGATCCCATGGCTGATCCTGGTCCCACCAGAGAGTCCCAGTCCCCAGCACCCCTCCTTGTCCCATCACAGCTCTGCTTCCAGCTCTGCTGGAGAGGAACACCACCTGGGAGCAGCAGCTTGGTCACAGCCAGGTCAGAGACCTGGTGAAGTGCTCGTGTCGCTGGGTCCTGCCTGTCTCAGGTGCCCCCATCACAGCCCCAACACCCCACCACAGGCCTCCTCTGGTGGCCTGGCTGCAGAGGGAGCTTGGAGAAGACCCAGTGCAAGTCCCGTGGCCACCCTGAAATGGGGTGCTCCCCACCAGCAGCAGAGCTGGAACATGGTGGCACGAGTGGTTTGTGTCACCAGTGATGACTGGTCCCATGGCTCTGTCATCCCTGTGAAGCCAGCAAACCTTCCTGGGGGCACCTGCACACGATGGGGATGTCCCCCAGCACACAGCAGGGACACTGGGGACAGACCCAGGCACCCCACTCGCACTGAGGGTCTCATTCCTCAGCACTGCCTGGGGGATATGGGGCCCCCCACCCCCAGGACTGATGGGGACAGTGGTGCCAGGACCCTGGGGAGCTCCCAGAAGGAGCAGGGACTGGCTGAGCATCCTGCTGTGGCTGTAAGAACATTCTCACCTCATTCATCCCAAGCTGGAGAAGGAGGAGATGGCTGGAGACCAGCTGGACCATCTTTATATCCAAAACTACCAAATATACAATTATATTACAAAAGTAAATTGTTCTTTTATTTCTGGTCTTTACAGAAGGAGCTGAACACAGGTGGGAGGAAAAGGGGGTCCCTTTGCTGGCGGGGTGGCTCAGCCACAGGTGCCACCTCTGTGCCCAGCCAGGGCTACTCTCAGTGGGACATGGCGTCACCGGTGTCATCCAGCCCAGCTGGGACGCATGAGGTTTGTCCCCAAGGCAGGGTGGGGACTGGGGACGGCCCCTGCCCTCAGCATCCCCACCGTGCCCCGCATGGCATCACGGGGACAGTCCCACTGCATCTGCTCCCATCTCCCCACACCAGCTGTCACCAGACCCTGTTGGCCTTTTGGGATGTCCCCTGTGGGGACCAGGGCCACGGGCTCCTCTAACTGGGATGACGGGGGGCAGTGAGGGTGTGCCCTTTGCCACAGGACCTGTTGATAAAGTCTGGGGCTTTTGGGATGGGTTTTCCAATCTCCAAATGGCTCCAGGTGCCTCTAGGTCACAGCCTAGCTGTTGGTGGGCTGAGAACATGCTGCACTCATCACACCCAAGGGCTGAGGCAGTGCAGCAGGTTCTGACAATCCCACACTCCAAAACCAGGGCTCAGTGGGGTGATTTGAGGAGCTCCTGGAGGGTTGGGCTCCCTGTGGGCATCTCTGCCCACCCCGGGCAAGGGAGACCCTCTACCACTGCTGTCCCAACACATCCCTGCCTGCACCCAGCAACCTGGTGATGGATGTCCTCCTGCTGTGATGAGGCCACATCCTTCATAAATCCCTCCTCCAGCTTTTCCTTTTTGGGGAAGGAAGAAGTGGATCCTGCAGGAAAACACCACCCCTGGAGCCCCAGTTCCAGTCCTTGACCCTGCTGACAGAGTCTCCACTCTCCTGCCCAAGCTGGGGCTCTGCAGGAAGGTGACGGAGGGTCCCCCCAAAAGTTCCTGGGCTCCAGAGCCTCCAGCCAGTTCCAAACCAAGAGAACCATGAGTAACAAAAACGAAAGCACCTGGTTCTTCCCCAGGGAAGCGGGGCACCTGCCAGCCCCTACCACTTGAGGAAGTCCCGCACGTAGCTCCATAGCTTGGTGATCCAGAGGTTGGCCCCCAGGTCAGTCAGGTACTGGATTTCGGGCGTCAGCATCTTGCGGCACAGCTTCTGGTGCTTCTTGCTGATCTTCTTCTTCAAGTTGTACCCCAGGATGGTCTTCTCCCCCAGGGGCTGCCAGGGCTGCATGGAGGACTCCTGGATGGCGCTGGCATCCACAGCGTGTCCCCCATCGATGCAGATGCTGGTCATCTTCTTGTTCTCCCTCTGCAGCTCGGCCACATCCCTGGCCATCCTCTCCCTCCCGTAGGCCTCCACCTTGCGCCAAAAGGTGGCATTGAAGTAGCGGTAGAGCTTGGCGTCGATGAGGTTCCAGGCGGTCGCCTGCTTGTACAGCTCAGGGGTCAACCGGGACACAGTGGAGCCCTTGCGGGCGTTGAGCTTGAAGTAGAGCACGTCCTCCAGCTGCCAACACAGCAGGTCCTTGAGCAGCACCAGCGACTCATCAAAGTACTCGAGCAACATGACGAGGTGGAAGCGGCGGTCGATCTCCTGGATGTGCTCCTCCACCAGCGGGCTGTTGGCATCCATGCTGCTGTCGTAGCCGAAGTCGAAGAACAGGAGGTTTTGGAGGTAGTGAGCGTTGAACCCGTTGGGGTCGTAGTAGTGCTGGGGGTCCCGGAGGAACTCGTCCAGCTTATCCTCCCCCGTGATCTTCCAGGTGAGGGGGATGACGGGCCCGAAGTAGTGGAAGGAGGACTCGAAGAGGTATGCGGGGTCCCGCAGCACCGTCACGAAGGTGGTGTCGGGCGGCAGGAGCTTGCGCACCTCCTCGTAGTGGAAGCGCATGTGGTTGCAGATGATGTTGAAGCACACCCCGGGCCGGTAGTGCTGCACCTGGCTGCGCTCGAAGAAGGACGGGTAGTAGAAGTCGTTGCGGCCGTTGGGGAAGGCGAATTTCAGGCGATGCTTCTCCCCGAAGCGGAAGAGGATGTTGAGAATGGTGCTGCTGGCGGTCTTGTGGGTCTTCATGAACATGACATTGAGCTTGGGTCGGCAGCTCCACCCCGAGGCACTGCCCGTGCCGTTGGATGGGGAGGGAGCCTGGGCAGGGGACAGGTGGGAGGAGCAGGAGAAGGGGACGGGGATCCTGGGTGAGAGAAGAGGTGAAGCACCATGGTGAGTGGCACTGACAATTTGAAGGCTTAGGAATAGTCTATGCTGGTGGAGCTGGATCTGGGGAGGGGTTCTGGACCTGGGAATAGGTGCTGGACCTGGGGACAGGTGCTGGACCTGGGAATGGGTTCTGGAAATGAAAATAGTTGCTGGAAATGGAAATAGAGCAGGGGGTCTCCACTGGCATGGCCATGGTGGTCCTGGTGAAGGTGATGCCAAAAAGTGCATTAAGGGGAGCTCTCCATGGCCACAACTCCAGGGAGAGGAGCTGATAACATTTTTATGGGGTATGAGAACCCTTAACCCTTTGTAGGATCTATGGAGGAGCCTTTGGAGCTCTCAGCCCTTTGTAGGATCCATGGAGGAAGCCAGGGACCTCTCAACCCCTTATAGGAGTCATGAACTCCTCACGGAGTCATGAACTCCTCCATGGAGGAGGTCTGAGAGCTCTCAACACTTTGTGGGATCCAAGAAAGATCCAGCAAAGAGGGAAATAATTCCAGAGCCTGGCACCACAGATGAGTTCATGGACCCTGGAGGAACACGTGAGGACAAGGAATGTTATCTGAGCTGCCTGAGGCAGCGAGTAGAGCCCACAGTCGAGTGACTTTGGACACCTGTAATGATCTCGCCAAACTGATCCTTGATAATCCCCACCCAACAGCACCAGGTTTGTGAGGCACGCGGACTTTGTTTACAAGCTTGGAGATTAATTTGATGACAGGTGGCATGACCGGGAGCTGAGTGCTGTGGAGCTCCTGCAGTGAAAGGACTCAAGACTTGAGTCCTCTCCTCTCCTCTCCCTCTCCCTCTCCCTCTCCTCTTTCCACCCAGGAGCACTGAGTGCCCCACAGTGTCCCCAGCCCTGCCAGGAGTTGGGGGCTATTGTGGGATAGGGTGCAGCCTCCAGCAGGAAGGGGACACCTTGGTGTGAAGCCACCAGGGTCTGGAAAGCCCCAGGGCCATCTCCATGTCCTCCACCTCCAGCTGGAGGTTCCTGGTGTGGAACAGGGAGGCTGAACTGCAGGGGGGACACGCGGGGACCCCAGACTCACTCAGTGACGCTGACTTGCAGCGGGGGGACGGCGTAGGAGTAGAGCAGCAACATGAAGCTGGTCAGGAGGGTCCCCAGTACCAGCCCCTTGCACATGGACCTCCAGGGCTTCCCATGCCACAGCATCCTGGTCACCTGCAGCCAGAGAGGAGAGATGTTGGTGCCAGGGACACGGGGACTGGGGGGTGTGTGGCTCCAACAAAGCACGTGGACATGTCACAGGCATGACAATTCCCTGGCAAGCATCCCACTGGTGCCCGGCGTGATCCACGGCAGATCTGTGGCCCAGGCCCAGCGGCTCTGCCCGCCCAGCCAACCTTTGCCCGCCCTGGGAAAACCGAGTGACTCCCAGGGCGGGAGAGGCTGCAGGGCTGGGCTTGGGGGAAAGGGGAGCCATGGACAGAGCCCAGGGGCAGAGTGGACAACTGAGGAACAGAGTGGCCATTCTCCAGTGGGACACCACCAGCACCGGCAGGAGCTCCCTGAGGGTGCTGGGATCCGTTTTCCCAGGAAAATCTGCAGGCCGGAGCAGGAGCTGCAGCAGCTCGGCATGGTTTGGGTGCTGCAATACCCTCCCAGTGTGGCCTTTCCGGCCCTGCCAGCAGCACTGGGGGGCTCAGGGGGCCCCTCTGGCCGTGGCAGCTCGGGCTGGCCCAGGGTGGAGGCCAGGGACACGGAACTGGGGACAGAGGGGTGCAGGCCCCCCAAACACACAAAACACATGCACACACAGAGGGCACACACAGACACCGCCGTCCCCTGGTGTGTTCGTGTGTGCACCAGGACACACACCCCTCAATGTGTGTTCATACACACACAGGTGCTCACACAAAATATGCACACACACACGTGCACACACAGACACACACACACACAAACACGCTCACAGAGCCCCTGTGCCCGCTGCCCCCTCCCCAGCACTCCCCCCGTGGTCCCCATCCCTGTCCCCTCCCTCCCTCCCTCCGCCCGGGACGCGGCGGTCACCCTCACTGTGACACCGCATTGCAGCAGGGCCGTCCCCTGCGGCAGGACACAGGGACACGGGGACACGGGGACACGGGGACACAGCATTCGTGACCGCAGCCCTCCACAGCAGAGCTCCGCGCCCGGGAGCCCCCCGCGCTGCGGGCTGAGCCCCCCGGCCCCGCACCGCCATTTAGCGGCGCGATCAGCATCACCTGCCTGCCCCCGCTCCCGCGGCTCCACATCCTCCGGAACCCCAGCCAAGGCTGGCTGCGCTCCCACTGAGTAACACCCCCAAAAATACCCCCCCGGCCCCCCACCCCCGCCTCGCATCACCCCCTCAGCGCCTCAGAGCTCCCGCGGGTGTCCCGGCGGGATGAAATCCCGCTGCCATGAGCCGTGGATCACAGCCCGGCACATCCCACCCCCCATCCCCGGGCAGAGCCCCCCGGCTCCCCCCCAGCACCGCGGTTACCGCCGCCCGGCGATCCCGGGGTGCCGCTGCTGCCGCCGCTCCCCCGCTCCGGCCCCCCCGGGTCGGATCGCCTCGTGCTGCCGAGATTTCCAGCTCAATGAATAATGAATGGAAATGCAACCGGAGCCCCGGGCTGCGGCCGGGTGCTGGGCACAGCGCCGCGGACAGCGGGGGAGCTGCGAGAGGGGCACCTGCGGCACCCGAAAAGCTCATCCAAGTGCCCCCCACTTCCCCTGGAGCCGGGACCGCTGGATCAGGCGGGGCTGGTGCATCCAGCCTCTTCCCGAGTGGTTTCCATGTGCGAGTGGGGGTGCACGGTGTCACCGCGGGGGGAGCAAGTGGCCCTGACTGTATCCCAAAACCACCGTGTGGGTGGGAATGCCAGACGGCTCCAGGAGCAGCTGGAGTTCGGTTTTACACGGTGGCTGTGATTCCATCACAGTCACCACCTGGCACCACCTGGAAAAGCCACTGGCCCTTTGAGAGGGCTGGGGAGACACCCACTTTTGTGGGTGCTGCCAAGAGGGAGCAAAGCTGGCACCAACCCCACAGGAGTGAGTGAAATGGCACCATAAACCTCGCTGATGAGTCCCAATGGATCCCAGTGAGTCCAGATGGGTCCCAATGGATCCTGATAGATCCCTATGGGACCCCACCAGGCCCCCAGGACCACACAGCACCGAATTCCAGAGCTCTGGGATGCCAAGGGGATGCCTCGCTCCACCCTGCCTGCCTCCCAGGGGTGGTTCTGGCAAACACTTCCCAGCCAAATATTCTATTGACTTTGCCTTCAGTGAGCAGCTTAATTATTAATAGCTCGTTAGGAGAAAGTGGTGCACTGGGTGTTCTCCTGGGGCTCCCACGGGTGGGGTGTGCCCATGGCGCCAGCCGGCTGAGATGCCCAGTGAGGGAACACGGCTGCGCCCACCATTTCCCCCGGGCCAGGCCACCCAGCTCAGCAGCCCCATCTCCGTGTACCAGCAGCTCCCCATCACCCTGGGGACACCCTGGAGTCTATTTTTGGGTTTTTCCTACAGCATCAATTGTTTTAGGGCCAAGCTCCTGCCATACACAAGGTGCATGCACCTGCTTGATCCTGATCCCACAAATCCATGGACACTGTTTTCCACAGGCCACATCCCACACAGCATGCTGCTTCCTACCCCCCTGTCCTTCCTGTGCCCCATGGGACACACAATTCCTCCCATCATCCTGCCCCATAGAGCTGTTTCCTGAGCATCCCACTGCTCCCCCAGCATCCCAACACCCTCCAGGCATCCCACCACCCCCCAGCATCCCACTGCCTCCCAAGCAACCCAACAAACATCCTGCTGCCCCCTTCCCATCGTGCCACCCTCCAAGCACCCCCGCATCCCCAGTATCCATCACCTTTTCCTCTCCCGCAGCGCTGGCGCTGGGCCGTGCCTCTGCTCTCCTGTGCTGACCGGGGTGCCGGGGGAGCGGGCGGCACGGGGCGGGGGTGCCGATGCTGCTCCGACATGGAATAAGCTCTTCCCGGGCAGCTCCCCGCAAATGCCGGCTTTTCCAAAGCCTCCCCACTGTACCGCGGCGTTTATGGCATCACCGGGATCGCGGCCCTGGGTCGCCGGCCTGGGAAGGGGGAACGGGACAGGAGTGGGAGCGGCTGGCGGGGGGATGCGGGGCTGCGGCCGGGCACTGCCCGGCTCCCCGGGGCCGGCCCTGGGTGCCTGCGGCCACCCCAAGCCACCGGCCCCCACCCACTGCCGGGGCACAGAGGAGCCATTCAGCCCGCGCCGCGAACAACGGCGACATTTGTCTCCATCTGTGACCGCGGCCTCAACGGGGACATTGTCCCCGCGGGCCCCACTGCCGGCCCCTCGGCTCCCTGCCACCAGCCCGGCGTGGCCCCACAGCCCTGGGTGGCTATGGCTGTCCCTGGGCGGCGGCACCCACCTCTCGCCAGCCACCGTCCTCCTCCTCCTCGTCCCACAGGACAGCTCATGGCCTGGCTGTCACCTCCTGCAGCCGGAGCTCACCTGGGTTTGGGGAGCCGTCTCCCGCACCCCGTCCCAGCCGCCTGCTCCCCGCGGCACCCTGGCCACGCACCACCGGCTCCCCTTCATTCTCCCGCAGCTTCCCCGCCCTCCTTCCTCCCTCCCACTGTTTCCATGGATTTATGGCCTTAATGAGAGCAATATTCTGGCATCTCCAACCTTGGTGTGACAACTGTGGGACAACCACGGTGCCAGCAGCCTTTCCACCCTCCTCTTGTCACAGCAGCCGAGTGGGTGCCCGCAGGGTGCCCTGGCCACACCAGGAGGGCTCAGCCCTGTCGTGGTCTGTCACCCTGCATGTGGCAGGGTGAGAAAGGGGCTCTTGTGCTCCTGGACACAGCCTTGGCTCTTCCTTAGTCTCTGTCACTAAAGGGGGTAGTGTCAGCATTGGGGCCCAAGCAAGGGGTGACCACCTTGGCCATGCCTGGGACTCACCATCCCTGTTGGGGGTGTTTGGGGTTCAGAGCTTGTCCCCACAGGATTTGTGGACATCACCTTGCAGTGAGCTGGCAGCTCTTGCCTCATCCCTGGCAGCTTCCCCATCCTGCCTGACCGCACCAGGGTAACTATGACCCTCTGAGATCAGGAAAAGCCAGAACACCTCAGTTTTCATCATCATCATCATCATCATCATCATCATCATCATCATCGCAAGAGAAGGGATGAAGAGCAGTGGTCACAGTCACAGGATTTGCTGTGGAACTGGTGTTGTGGGAGCAATGAGCTGTCCCACCCTTTCTCTGCAGGGCACCTCTCCCAGTTCCAGGTTTCTCCCTCTTTTTTGGGATGGCTCACAAAGGGATACCAGGTTTCCCCCTTTTTGCAGGTGGGTTATGAAGGTTTTCCAGGTTTCCCCCTCTTTTTTCTTTTTTTTTTTTTTTTGGAATGGGTCAAAAAGTATTTCCAGGTTTCCCATTTTCTGGGGAATGGGTTGTAAAGGGTTTCCAGCCAGAAGAGAGCTGCAGTGGCCGGTATGCGGCAGCTCAGCCATGGAACGCTGACAGCCTGGGGACAAATGTGACCGAGCTGGGGAGCTGCAAACCCCCATTCCCCACATTCACCACGTCCCACAGGGGTGACCGGGAGGGCTCCACCACCTCATCCCCACCCCTGTCCCTGTCCCCCATGGATTTGGGGGTACAAAGCAGCACTCACTGAAAGCTGTGATGGCCAGAGCCGTGGATTCCGAGGGAGCCGTGGATCCTGAGGGATTGGGTGAGGAGGCCGAGGGTGGCAATGCTGAGGGGTCACACTTGGCCGGACACACGCCTTTATGTGCCGGGGAGGCCCCGGGAGGCCGGACCGGTCTGTGGCCACCGGCACCGGCCTTGCCCGGCCGGCCCAGGCCTGAGGCCTGGCCTGGAGAGAGGCCTGGGGCACTCCCAGGTTTGGGGAGCTGAGGTTTGTTTGGGGCTGGGAACTCCCAGGGCTTGAGGCCCTGTTTGGGGTCTTCTGCTCTGAGGGGAGCCCCAGCCCTGGGGTGCCCCAGGGGTCAGTCCTGCTCCTGCTGGGAGAGGGGACAGCAAGGAGAAAAACAAAGGGAAAAAGCCTTCCAACCCTCTGAAGCTGAAAGAAAAAAAAAAAAAAAAGGGAAACAAGAAGAAAAAAGGGAGAGAATAAAAAGGGGGGAACAGGAAAAATAAAATAAAAGAATAAAAAGGAATTAAAAGACAGAAAAGAAAAAATGAAAAAATAAAAAAATGGAAAACAAAGGGGGAGAATGGAAACAGTAAAAAGAAAAAAGCACTTAAATAAAATTGAATATTAAAAAAAAATAAAGAAAAAAATTTGGAAACAAATATCTAGGACAATAAACTAAATCTGAAAGTCTGGGTGTTGCCAGCTGTTCCCTGTCTGAGCTCACTCCCTTCCAGGGACTGTTACTCTCCAGAACCTCTCTGTGTCCCCACAGCAGTGCCAGGGGTGTCCTCCAAAAATTCCTCAGTGAAAAAGTCTTCACCACATTTGGGGACAAAGGTGTGCCCATAAACCCCATGAGACACCTTGTCCCAGCTGTGGTGTCTCCAAGGTGTTTTTGGGGGAAAACCCGGGACTGACAGATAACTGCTGATGCAAGAACACATCCAGCAGGATCAGCAACCCTGGCAGCAGCCATGGATCTCCACATCCATCCACATCACCCCCTGAGGGGCCTCCCCCCTGCCCAGGCAGAAGGAGCAGACAACAAACACCACCAGGAAAGCGTCACCTTCTTTAATTAAAAATAAAAATACAGAGGAATATGGTTTTCTGTGTGGATACTGGGAAGCAGCTCCGGGCTCCCACACTCCTCTGTCCCGGGGAGCTCCTGGGAGCCAGGCTCCAGCAGCCAGGGCTGTGCAAATTCACACGGAACGATCCCAGAGCTCTCCTTGGCCTCCTCTTCCTCACGCAGAGGTGGCACCAGCATGGAGAGGACAGTCCTTGTAACACCGACTCCGCAGAGGGCAGTGGGGAAAGGCAGAGCAGCAGGTGTATTTACAGATGGGAAACATTTCAAACACAGCATTTCTACCCCAGGAGCAAAGCCAAGGGTTTTCCACCCAAAAGCAACAGTGGAAAACCATCCAGGAGCCCCCGGCCCCATCACGCTTGCCGTGCCTTCTTGTTCTTCTTCTTCTGCTCCTTGAGGGCTGCATCGTGGGCTTTCCTCTTCTCAGCCAGTTTGTTGGCCTGGGGAGAGACCCCCGAGACCCTCAGCCAGAGCAGGACAGGGGCTGCAAGCCCTCGGCCCCACCCAAGCTCCAGCTGCATGTGGAGGACGGACCCCACGGCACCGGGATCGGGGCTGGGGTACGGAGAGCCCCGAGGGGACACAGGGAGCTCTGCCCGCCTGGGGCAGCCTGGGGACACTGGCAGGGACCTCAACAGCTTCCCCAGGGACAGGGAGGAGCAGAAGGAACGAGTGGGTTTGGGAAGAGCCCGCCCCGGGATGCAGGTGAGGGGCCCAGCCTCCGTACCTCGCGGATTTTGCGCTTCTTCCCGAACATGATCTTCTTGTAGAGGTACTTCTCCCTCTTCTTCATCATCATGATGGCCAAGCGCTTCTCCTCGCTCTGCTGCTCCTGCTCCAGGCGCTGCTTGTCCTCCACCCGCACCTTGCCTGGCGTCACCTTCACAGGAAGCACCTGTGGGGAGCCAGGGAGCTCAGGATGCCGGGAACCCACCCTCCTTCCAAGGGACAGGCATTTCCAGCCCTTTCACTGCGGGCCAGGGAGAGCCACAGCCCTCACAGCCAGGCCCTGACAGGGCTGGGAGCTGCAGCTCATGATGTGGGGCCAGGAGCACCCCTGAAGTGCTCCAGGCTGGGCTGGACAGGGCTTGGAGCAACCTGGGACAGCAGGAGGTGTCCCTGCCCAAGGCAGAGGCTGGAACAAGATGAGCTTTAAGGCCCCTCCCAACCCAAACCATTCCATGACTGTGTGAGTATCCCAGTGGTCTCAGGATAGGGACACCCCTCAGCAGGGACAGGGGCACCGGAGCTGCCTCCTTGGGCTCCCACCTTGTTGCTCTGTGTGCTCTGAGTCTTCTGCTCTTCCATCTTCTGCTCTTCCATCTTCTGTAATTTCATCTCCTCTTCCTTCTCAGACTCATCTTCTTCTTCCTCCTCTTCTTTGTCATTGTCACCTTCCTCTTCCTCCTCTTCCTCCTCCTCCTCCTCTTCACTCTCTTGCTCTACAAAGAGACACCACCGTTACCCTTGGGATGCTCTGGAGCAGGCACAGCCCAGCTCCCAAGCTCCTCTGAGGGCTCCCAGCACCTGGATTCTCTCCCCTCTGCAGGGCCAGCAGCTTCAGCTTCTCGGGAGGGACGTAGTCACCCTCCTTCTCCGTCACGAAGGGCGAGAGGTGCGGGGGCAGCAGGACCCCGGGGAAATAATCGGCCACAGGCAGGCACAGCTTGGCGTTGACCGAGTCAAAAACCCACTGGGGCTGCAGGTAGTACCTGGGCGGGGCAGAGGAGACCCACCTCAGGCTCTGGAGCCCGTGGGACAGCTCAGGGACAGCTCAGGGATGGCTGCTCTGGGGAGGGCCCCCTGCTGCACCCACCTGCCAACCACCTGCTTGTCCAGGCGGGGCCGGTCGATGATGTGGTGGGTGATGGACGGGTCGGTGGCGTCGTAGGTGGCACCGATGCACAGGGACTTGTCCCAGGACACCTGGCCACCAAAGCACCTGCGGGCAACGCCACCAGGGAGTCAGACAGGCAGGTGGGACCCTCAGGGTCACCCCACCCAAAGGACATCGGGTGGGTTGGCCCCACAAGTCCTGCAGAGGGGGAGGCCGGGGTTGCCGAGGGTCTCCTGCCCACCACGCACCGGATGACGAAGGCCAGCGGCTCCCGGGGCACCTCCCTGTTGAGGAAGAAGCGCAGCCCCTCAAAGAGCTTCTTGTGCTTCTCCAGAGCCTCCTGCTCCTTCTTCTTGGCATCCATCAGCTCTGCTGTCTCCTGCTCAGAGCAAAGCCCTCAGCCTCCTCCCCACACACAGCCCTTGCCAAGGAGGGGTCTCAGGAGTTGTCCCCAAGCTGCCAGCCTGGGCACAGGACAGGATCCCCCAAGGCCAGGGATCAGCCCCCCACCAGGGTCTTACCCCCTCCACTGGGAATTCATCCATCTCCACCTCGTCCTCATGGGTTGGAGCC